TAAAAAAATATTTTCCAAAAAAAAAAAAAAAAACAAAAACAGAAACAAAAACAAAAACAAAGAGAACAACAACATAGATGTTTCTATCAACAAAAATCAAGATTTGGCGGCTATCTCCATTCATTTGATCTTTCTTTCTTTCTTTTTTAATCACCATTGTCTGTAGACACTCAGACTCATTGGGGACAGCATCTATTTGTAAGACTGTTCTCTTTCCAAAACCTTTATTTAGTGACTTGTTTTTTATTTTCTATTATGTTAATAACAGAAAGTTGAATAGACTGCATGCTGTATGCATCTTTTATGGCTGAATGGTGCTTTTGGGCACGTGAGTGTGCATGTGTGGTGCACACCCCCCTCCCCCCAAGACACAGGACAGGAAGATCTTGGGCTAGAGAAAAGTTAGCCGGCACCATCAGCCTGCTTGAATGTCCCCAGGCCACTTTCCATCAATGCCTCTCATCTCCTGATCTTTCAAGTGACGCCAAACTGTGGAAAAAGTTTCAAAAATGCATGACCGTCTCCTCCATCCTGTTGTGAATGAAACAGCTGAATCAAACAATATTTGCTCTTTTGGAAGTTTCTCTCTCTTCATGAGCTGCTGGCATCCTTACAATTATTAGCCAAGGATGCTCACAGTACAGCATGCTGAAGGGTTACTTCTTAGACATGGTTTTAGTTTGGGCACACATTCCTGCAGATGGTTGCATTCTGGTGAGTTCTGTGTATCTGCAATGTATCTACTACACATCCCTGGAGAGCAGGACTAATCTTAGCAGCAGGTCCACTAGGCAGACCATTCCATTCACTGGTGGTCCCATGGCTAAATTGTGGTTTATCCATACGATGACAGGGGTAGACTTGACTTCAAGTGACTTTCCATTTCATCGACCAACTGTCAATGAAATGAAAAAAAGGAAGAGAAAATAATAGTGTGGTGACACTCTGCTTCCTGAGGTAATGATGTAATAGACAGACATGTCACGTGGCCTCTTCTCAGCACCTCACAGACAGGTGTCCACCTGAGACTCCAGTGATGGCTAGACTCACAGGAAGTTGCCCAGTGCTGTGCCCAAAGCACAGAAGGACCACGAGACTGTACTAGCTCTGCCACCTGCTTAGACATGAGATGATGCAAAGCCTGTTTCTCTCACAACTAATACCTACACTGTGGGGTTGGGGACGTTGCTAACAGGTTTAGCAACTCTTGTTATCCAGTTAGTCTAAAGCAGACACAGACCTTCCCACCATTTAAAAATGTGCGTATTTGAAGAAAATGAAGTTGCTATACATCTGTGTTGTATGCAGTCGGTGCTGTATCAGACATGCAATGCTAGACACACATATGATAGGAACGCTGTCATACATTACTAAAGCAAATACTGTGCAAAGCTCCTAATTTTAACTCTCATCCAGTCCGATATCCTCACTCTACTGCCCTCTGCCAAATGCATGGACATTTGCCATTACCTTCTTTCTTTTTCTCTAAATGCACGTGTGTGTCAAAGAGCACGCTATTTGCTTTTGACTGTGTTTAAAATTTAAAAAGTGGTGCCGTTTCAAACATTTCCATTAGGACTTACTTCCTTCACTCAAGCATCTCTTTCCACTCTCGAACTTGGATTACCTTTCACTAGTTTGTTTCATTTCATAAACAATATCAGTTGCCAGGCATCATGGCACACCTTTAGTCCCAGCACTGGGGAGGCAGAGGCAGGAGGATCTCTGTGAGCCCGAGGCCAGCCTGGTCTACAGAGTGAGTTCCAGGACAACCAGAGCTATGTAGAGACAAATCAGAACAAACCCTTATTAATTATTGCTTATGAATGTCATTCTTATTTGTCTTCTACTGCCTGCCTTCGGGGTCATATGTGTATGTTTTCCTCTGAGGAACACTTGTGAGGGGAATGGCTACATGTGTGGTCGCCTTTGTCAGGTAAGAGTCAAACTTGAGAGTCTTTCCATTGATATTTTGTTCCATACTTAGTCATGCGAGGCTTGGCCATTGGTCATGAAATGTGTATCTTGGGGTTTGCATTTATGTGAACACAAATAAATTTGAGGTTGTTTTACACGATACTTGAGCATCTGTTTTCCCTTTTGCCAAAAGTCTATTGACATCTTTTGTCCATATTTAGCTGAATCCCAAAGATCTTCACATACTCTGGGTACTGTTCATTCTTGGCAGTTCTGTGTTACAGATATTTCATGTTAGCTTCTGATCTTAGCCTTCTGAAGAGCAGGAGTCCCTCATTTCAATATAAAGAGGACACTCAATCTTTTTTTTTTATAAGCTCCACTTTTAATTTCTGTTTCCGAGATCACTAGAAAAAGGTCCACAATATCATGAAGATTTGAGACTTTGTTATGTTCCTTGAATCCTAATTTTGACCTTTTGTTAATTTTTACTTCATCTATAATAAACTTTTTTAAAAATAACAATGCAACCAGTTTAACTGCTCTGATATTTTATAAATGTTTATTTTAATTTTTTGTATGTGAGCGCCTGTTCTTAGGATGTACACAAAGGGAAAAGTCCCTTAAGAGCTTTCTCCTAACATGTTTAAGATATTGGACTTTCTATTCATGAACACCCTAACGTGTGTGTGTGTGTGTGTGTGTGTGTGTGTGTGTATGTGTGCGCGCGTGCGCACGCACGCTTGCTCACAACCTCTCAATGTTTTGGTTTATTTTTATGGATTGATAATTTTTCTGCAGTCATTAGTTATGCTGCTGGGGGCTGGGCATGAAGCTCGGTTAAATGCTTGTCCAGCATTTGTGAGAACCTGGGTTTCACTCCCAGCGTCAGGGTTGTGACTCTGTGTATGTGTTGCTGTCATAAAAAGTAGTTTTGCTAGCTACCATGTGGGTGTGCTGGGGATGGAACCTGGATCCTGAACAGCAGGAGCTATTTCTCCAGCCCCCCAGGGGTTTAAAAAAAATCACACCATTCTACTTCACCATTGGTCTACAAGGATGTAAGTGAACACTATTTTAGCACTAGCGCCAACCAACTCTTAGATTGTTTTTATCAGCTTTAATGTGTGCAATCCTTTGAGCTTTTTGATTGTCTTGGCACTCTTATCAATATACCGAACTCCGATTTTTTTTCTCCCATTCTAGAGGAATCATTTTATTCCCGCATTGCTCCCGACTTTAAATGCTAACTGTAAGTGTAACACCAGCAAACAGTCCTCTTGGGTCCAGAGAAATTTTTCCTTGGGTTTCACTGTAGACTGATGGTTTTTCCAGGGTTTTGGTTAAGGATGCACTCTATTTATATTAGTTTCCTAAGATTTTATAATGGAAATAAAAATGCATTTTCTTGAACATTTTCATTGTCTCCATTTAAAACACCACTCATAATTTTTCTTACTTTGTGTTAGTGCACATTGCATTTTGAATGTCTGTATCTCTTCCAAAGATAATGTTGAAAGTTAACTCCAAAGGCAAGAATATCACTAGGATGTGAGAGCCACACAGCATCTCCCCCGTAGGTAACAACACCGACGCCTTTGTTGGGAAATTTAAGTACTTGTCCCTTACAGCTCCCTTCCTCCCCACACAGCTGTAGAACTCCCATGCTCTCAAGATTGAGCAAACTAGTTTGTTCTCAGAATTTTTTAGGTGTGCAGTGCCTATACCTTGACCCCAGGTGTGGGGTGGTGCATGATTTGCTCCTATGCTTAGCCCATCCCCTGGCTTGGGTACATAAGCTCATTACTCTCTGTAATAAATAGCAGCTTCCTCTTCACTTCTCGTGGTGGTCTGCTAAGTGCTTCAATCCCGACACCCTCCGCTGGCTCGGTACTCTGGCGGCGTGGGCGCAGCACACCTTCTCAGGTTGGCAACTGGGAAATCATCCCTGCTCACCTTCCCTTTCTGTCAGTTGAGGTCACCATGATTAAGGTACTTCCTCGGAAGCAAACACTGGTTTTCTACAGTCACCAAAATCACCAAACTTGTCTATATGGCTTCCTCACCTCTAGAACTATAAAGACTAACTTCTATGGTTTTTTTTTTTTTTTTCTTTTTAAGAAAAGAGGCAATGTTAAGGCAATTTAACTGCTAAAGTGTATTTAGGATTTCACTGGCTTATAGATTTTACTTATAATTGTGTGATTTTAATATTTAAGTTAGACTTGCCTCATAGAAACTAGACTCTCTCCAGTTAGGATTTGTCCTTAGCAAACTGCTAAAATGGTACTTACTAAAATCTCCCAATGTGGAGGCAAGCGTCTTTATCTGCTGAGCCATCTTGCAGCCCCCCACCCCCCATGGTCAGCTACCACACAATGTTATTTTATAGCATCACGAGGCTTGATAACTCTCTGTGTGATGTTCTAGATGGCTTGACTTTCTTCCCCTTCTCATGCGGTTTTCTCCCTGGTTTCCTTTGATGGATCTCCTTCTTCCTTCGCTCTTCCTATCTTTGGAGTGTCCAAAACCATAATCCTCACTTACATCCTTCTTTTCCTATCTCAGTAATAAATGATGCCTTTAGACAGGCTGGTGTTCTCATACCCATCCCTCTGCAGCATCTATCCCCAGCTCCATTTCCAAACGCACACTTAACAGTCTCAACACTAATTCATCTACGACTGAATTTCACCAGTTTCTCTCATCATTCTACCCATCATTACCCACGCTGTGTTCTACTTCACTGATTTTTTTCTAGGCTGCTGCCTTATTCAGTGTGAGCAACTTAAAGCCGGGAATGGATTTCATTCATCTTTAAATCCCTTGTACCTAGCACAGGGCTGCTGTTCACTAAGTATTGTGTTTGTTTACCTGCCTTTGGGAGGAAATGAATAGATGCCTAAGTAGATGAGTAACCTCCTGTAAAATGGGATTTTAAACAATTCACTTGCTTACACTTATGAGGTTTTAGTCTTGTTTCTGAATCGTGCTTATCATTCGGATTAGTCAGAGCTATGCGAGTCTGTGGTGAAACATACAAGGAGACAGATGACCGTGTGTCTAAAATGAAACAAAAGACATGCAGTTTTGTTTCTCTTTTATTGCAACCCATTGCAAGGTCAAAAGGTTCACAGAAATATAGAAACTACAAACTGGGTGAATTTTCTTTATCCACTCAAACGGACATTAAATACAAAGGGCCAGACTTTTCCACTACAGCAATATATTTCATAGGTTTTATTCTGAAAATACTGTTGACATTTGGAGAGGATAAAAAGCCCTGCATTAAATGTGTTCACATGTATTTATGACAGTCTAAGGAAAAACACAAGGAACTATATTGCCCAGAAAAAGTATTTTAAGCCTCATTTCAGAGCGTCTAATAAGAGCACATTCAACAACCTCTACAGCATCACTCAAGGTGATGCTTTTCTTGGCTGTTTTTTATGAGATTAATACTTTGAGGCTGGGTATGATATTTCTACAGATTTCTATAAATGAGCCAAAGCAGTGTTCCGGGTTCTGTTGCGTCAGGCTTTCTGTATTAGTCAGCGTCTTGGAGAGTTAAGTGCAGCCCCCCCAACCCCCAAGCTAAAGCGTGTTAAGAGTGCAGAGCCTGAGGTTCAAAGAAGGTAACATTACAGAATCAATTCCACACTGTGAAACCACTGACAGCTACAACACTCCAAAGACTGTTACAGCTTTGAACTGAAATTGTACCATCTATAGCAAAGATGGCTTTCCCTTCTTTTTTCTTTTTGTAACTATTTAAAATATAGTGTGACCTATATAAAAATTAAACTTGTTTATTCACTCAAGCTACTATAACTATAATACAGTCTTATAAATTAGTTTTGGGTTAAAAACCAGTTAAAATATTATGAAATACCATTTTTTTTCTTTTTAGTAGTGGAGAAAAGGGTATAAAATGATACAGTTCAATGTATAAGAGGAAATGTTTTCTAATGGTAAACTGCTTGGTCTTAGAAATTAGACAAATTTTATTCCCTTCAAATTAAACTTTCAACCTGCTTGGTTGTGGGAAAGGAAAAAAAAAAGTATTCCTGGTACCTGCTCAGTATATGTATTTTGAACTGGTTGGAGTTAAAACAAAAGAAAAAGAGCCGTACCAGAAGCATGTTGACACACTGGAAGCAGACACGCCTCTTCTAAGAAAAGCTAGCATACATATGTGGATGGACTCAAACATAAGGCTGCTTTCTGCTTCTTACAGCTCCAATCACTTTAGCCGCATTGGAATTTATAGGGAATAGTCAAACCTCATTATAATTGTTAAAGACCAAAGACCACATAAGGGGAGAATAAATAGCAAGTTCAAAAGTCAAGGTTTTCTTCTCCTACTACGAAAGATAATCACTCTTTAGCTTAAAAGGGCTCCCTGTGGCCTGATTATAGATCTAGACACAGGAGAGGCTTTTGGAGTCCAAGTCCCTACAATGAATTAACTGTAAAATGTGTGAAATCAAAACAGATACTCATTTTCTGATAGGTACTGAGATAACTCAATGCTGGTAATATTTAATTAAACTAAAATACTTATTTCTGGCAAGTGTAAACGGATTTTCTAAATCTCTCCTTAATTCATACATTAGCTAACAGTAGACCTTTGCAGTAGTGTAAGAACTATTCAAAATTATAACATGCATATATCCAAAAAACCTGTTCTAAATCCCAAAGCAAAAGAAAATATTCAACAGGAAGATTGTCTACTTATATCCCATTCATTAATCTTCTATTAACATGACTACTGCACCTCAGAATATATGTTCATAATTACCAAAATAATGAAATGATCTGTAAAATCTTTAAAATAACTGCATACCATTAATTTACATTCGTGGCCTCAATGTGGATAACGATAAGATTAGCCCCAAATGTCACTAGACTATACCCTGACCAGTAACTACCCACAAAGTAAAAGCTAACACAGCGTTAATGTAAAACCAACTAAAATATTTATTACTCAACAGAATGCATTTACAGAATAATGAATAATTAACTTTTGTGAGCTGACCAGGGAACTTCAGATTGTTGCCTTCATATACAAATTTACAAAAGGCTTTATTCTCCCCAGTTCCTAAGTTACCGAGGGGATGGGAAAGCAAGTTGACCACCTGTGGGCAGAGTGAGTCAGCCATTTTCATCGGGGATGGGATGGGATGCTGGCTCCATGCCCTCCAGGAAGGCCCCCATGTTAGGAAATAACTTCACATGTGTGCACAGGCATGAGCCAGCCTGAGAGCTGAAGTATGTTCTGGGAGTCTGAAGGGTACTGTCTCCAGGCTTCTAGTTAGAGCCACACCACTTTCTGTTCCGGCCTTGCCGGAAGTGAACCGTGTATTCCATCACAAAAGAAAGCCTTTTGCCCAGTGTCTCCGAAACGTGGCATAACTCGGAAGCTCAAAATAATACACCCAGTTTTCTGACTTGAGACTTCACAAAGCCTTTTTTTTTTTTTTTTTTTTTGAGAAATAAACTTTTGACTTAAAAAGAGAAAGTCTTGTGGTTTTCATAATCTTCCATTTTTAGGGAAACAAGCCAGCTCACCTGGGGACATAACAAGTGCACTTATGCTAAGCGGTATGCCAACAAGACACACACATAACACGGGTACAGGGTACAGACACAGACAGGTGGCGGTTAAAACTCTCCAGAAGACTCTCTATGGCAGCCGCACACCTCCTCCCGTTTCTCTGCCCTGCTCAATGACCTGAGGAGGCCCAGGGATGGGCAGGAGTGTTAGGAGGAGGCGGCAGACATGTTGGGGGTCCAGCCCATCTGGTAGGCTCTCTCCAAGGTCCGCTTGCAGTCCTGCAGGACAGTGCTGAAGGTGACGTGAGGGTACTGCTGCACCAGCCGCTCCACCGTCCCTTCGTTGACCTGCGAGGAAAGAGAGCCAGCGTCACACAAGGCCAGCACCATGCCACCCTCCCCCGCGGCACGGCACACTGAGGTACTGTGGTGGTGTGCACGGCAACGAGCAACCCTGGGCTCTCCCTTTCCTTCCCACTCAGCACATGCGCTAACACACATTACACATGTCTGGACATGCATGCTTTCCTTCAGTCTGACTCCTCTGACTCCCCAAGACTACATCTGCTCCTATGGATTTTTTAATTAAGCATGATGTCATGAAATCAAATGTACCTGCTAAACATAAATGTCTAAATTTGACTGTGATTTGCCAAGACCTCAACAACATCCCTTAAAAATACCGAATGTGGGGTAGGCGGGGTGGGGGTGGGGGAAACATTAAGGCAGCATTCTCGCGTACCTTTGGCTTCCTCACCCACCAGAGAGCCTTTTTAGGATGAATGCTTTACGGTGGGGGGGAGGGGGGGAGAGAAGATACACAGGATTCTAGATAGAAGTGCAAGGGAAATGTTTATTTTTCTTCCCTTTAAATGTTAAGACATCGCAAACCTCAAGTCCCTGTGTGAGAAGGGCTGGAATGTGAGGAATCAATAATTAAAACATACATGGCTGGCAGGTCAGGGACGGCCCCAGCAGACCTTAGCCGTCAAAGAGCCCACCTTGATTCTTGATTAGACAAGGCGATCAGACAGGCCTAATTAAAGCTAACACCTTTACAGTTGCTGTGCAGTGAAGGGATTAATTTGTCAATGATTTTTAAGCTGATTGCAGTTCATATCACAGAAGTAGACAGCTTCCTTCATCCTTTAGATAAATAAATGATTAACCTAAGAACCACAACTTACAGGTAGCTTTATTTAAAATCTTTATTGAACACTTGGGCATTTCCGAATGCATCAATATTTCATTTGTACTGTGTAAGCTATACTGAGTTAAATCTGAAGGAAGATATTTGTGGTAAACATCTTTGAGCATTCCTCTTGATGCTCATTATTGAAAATCATCACCGCCATAAGCAAAAAACAAAAAGCTGGACAACCCTGGAAGCCCTCGACGTTTGCCTTGAAAACCTGCTTAGAAGTACAATGATAGTGATGTTTGCTTGTCTGCACTTTCCTAAACAGGCGATCTGAAAGTCAGGGAGGCTGTTATTTGGGTTTAATACTGAGAAGTGTTACGATCACATCGTACTGCATACTCCACATCTTCACCACAGCTGGGTTACAGGTATGAACCACTATGCCCAACTGTCAGGAAATTTCTCTAGTTATGATGTGCTTGCCCAAATCAATCTTGCTTTCTTTTCTTTTTTTTTCTTTTTCTTTTTTAAATTTAGGATTGGATCCCTCAGCTATGAAAACAAGATAAAGGGACTTACACTGTAGACTTGTTGCAAGGCTTAAGTGCCATCTTATGCCTAGCAGCATGACGGACATAAGAAGCCCCTCTAAATGGCAGTTCCAGTTATTGCAGGAAGTTCTCCATAGAGAGTTGCTGAATGCAAGGGCTAAGGAGGGGTGTATGAGACAGCCCTATCCTCGAAGTGCTAGTCAGCATCTTTCCAACCCTAGGCGTCATCAGAAGTAAACCTTCATAAAGGTGGTCACAACAGTCTCAAGATGAGAATCACAGCGACATAGGTCACAGACAGGACTGCCCACCCCCACCTGACCATCTCCAGCGCTAGCAGCCAGCTTCTTCCACTGTGGACTTCGACCCCCAAAAGAGTTGGATAGCTGAATGGGAGAGTTTTAATGTCTGGCGGCAGGTGGTTTCTGAGCACGCAAGGGCTGAATATTGATTTAAAATTAAATGCTAACTGAATTGGAGATGTTTCTGGCAGCTCTTGTCCATATAGTGTGGTGTGAGTTCACGGAGGTCCTCAGTCTTGAGCCTGACACATGCGACCTTTGTAGTGTATGCCATGCCACACAGCTCCATAGAGGAAGGCTGTTCGTTCTCCTAGGAGCTGCAGGGTTTGTACTGAACATTCAAGGTGTTCAGCTCCTACAGCTACACAATGATATAGTCACAGAAATCAAAGATTTTTAAAAAGTTTTTCTACCACCAGCATGTAAGTGTCAAATTAGTATTTATTTAGAATGCCTTGTGTAACAACATTTGATTCCTAAGAACTGTTATCTTGCTGGGCAGTGGTGGCATATACCTTTAATCCCAGGCAGAGGCAGGTGGATTTCTGTGAGTTTGAGGCCAGCCTGTCTACAAGGGCTCGTTCCAAAGCTACACAGAGAAACCCTGTCTCGAAACCTCCCCCTCAAAAAAGAAACATCTGTTTTCTAAGTTTCATTTTTAAAAAATTCATAAATGAATTTTGCCATGAGATTAGGACAACCTGCAATATTTCTGCTGTTTTGAACCACCGATACATATCTATGTCCCTATCACAGACAATTATAAAAACAAAGTCCCAGTCAATCCAAAAAACCCGAAGAAACTTTGTGACCCACAGTAGCACATACTCAGCCGAGACTGAGCTCTTCTCATAACAAGTTCACACACCTCAGCAGGGAGAGACTTGCTTTCATCTTTTAAAAAGGCTTAAAATTATTCGTATGCCAAACTATTATTTTTAGATGGATTTCTCTGTGTTCTCTGATCAGCAGATGCTTGATTTGTAGGCCTATTTTATTAACGTGTATGCTCAGGGTCATGTAACATTCCATATGATGAAAAGGGCTGTCAGTGGCCAGTTTGCAAAGGCCTGTTCTGCAAGCCTTGCAGGGTTCAGGTCTGCATCAGGGGACAGCGGTCCTCACACACTTGGATGAAAGCAGGGCTCTCTAAGAGGACTCAGGAACCATGTGGGTCAGAGTGAACACCAGGGAAAGAAAGGCAAGTCCACGTAGGCCAGGGCATTTAGCAGGAAGGAACTGCTAACTAACCCAGACAAGAAAGACGGGCACCCTTCCTCATCCACACACAGGTAAGGACAGTGTGTGCATAGGGCGGATGGTCAGTCTCTTCTGGAGAATCAATTTTTAAAAAAGAAAAAAAAAATAGCAATGTATTATTTCTCCAGAAAGAGATCTATAATTCACCTTAAGCAAACTCACGGATTTATGGAGTATATAAATTAACAGCCTTTCATGGGAGGGCTAATTTATTTCATCAGCTCCCCTAATGTGCATCCTTTTTGATTTTAACAGAATTCAATTTATCTATTTCTTTTGCATGAAGTAAGGTAACCCTGTGTTTAAGAATGGAGATGATGTCATGGGAATTCTCTGGCCTTGTGTAGCTGGGTATGGAATGGCAATGATAGTCTTCAGTAGACAACGCATGCGTGTCTCCTAAGCAACCCCTTTGGTAACCGTGCACCGTAAATTCCTGAAACCAGAGCAGAGGAGAACATGCAAACATCCCATTTTAAAGCTTTGCCGGGGAACTGTTACTCAGGGAGGGTGCAGCGGTGTCTGCTCACAACAGGGAAGGTTCTATTTTTGACTTATAATGTCTCCTGGTAGTGTTAATGGTAGATTTTATAGCCTGTTATGTTCAATGGCCCCTCAGAAGCACACGTGATCCTTGCTTCTTTTCGTAGATTCTAGGAGCGCTCCACAGAGGAGCTTGAGCCTGGTGTGAGACACCAGGAGAAACCAAGCCATCTTCAGTCTTAGGCGGACACACACATGCCTGCAGCCATTTTGCCGTGTACAGTTCCAATCGCTAGGGTGAAAGAACATTCTCTAACTTAAAAAGTATAATGTAAGTGGGGGGGGGGGGAACAAGGTGTTTTAACATAATCCCTCATAACACCTTTCTTTAAAATTAAATTCCTTCTGTTTTTTTTTTTCAAACACTCAATGGTAACTAATTTACTTCATGTGAGATTTGGAAAATGAAGTGTCTTCCTAAAGAAAAACTCAGAAATGTTATTTGAAGAAATTGCTGTGATTAAATGAAAAAAAAAAAAAAAAAAAAAAAAAAAAAAAAAGGCATATGCCCCAGGTTTAAAAAAAAAAAAAGTATACAAGAAAGATTAGATTTTACCATTTCTTCCCAAGACAGCTCTACATTTTCAAGATTATTATAACTCTGTTTAAGGTAGTATGATTTGTCTGGTATTTTTAATCTATTTTGAGTTAACATCTATTAGCACTTTTTTGGAAATGTGAGGCAATTTGCTATGATAATTAAGGTAAATCATGCCATGGTTTCAGTTTATTGCTGCTGCAGAGGGATGAGGAGAGAATTCCAGAGATCCAGTGTACACAGTGCTTTCCCTTCTTACCAAGTCCTCTTCAACACCACCAACAGGAAGTCCCTGATACCTACAAACCCAGGCTAGACTTCTCCAACTATTCCAAAAAGCATACACTCTGATAAAATACGCCGCAGAGACCACAAGCATGGAGTGGCTCTCCCCGCCTCATCTCCACAGGAAATGCTGTGGGAGGCAAGAAATGTGATCCCGGAGCAAGAAGAATCTACTCCAAGTGATCTGTACTATAATTTGTTTTGAAGATTTTTTTTTTTTTCACGTGGCAGGCCAAGTCATGTGTGTGAGTGGCCATGTGTGCAGGTCAGAGGGGACACTGCGTGCTCTCCTCTGCCACTGCCTTGTTCCCTTGAGACAGGGTGTCTCCCTGACCAGGGACTTGCCATGTTGGCTAGCTAGCTGGCTGGCCAGTAAGCTCCTGGGAGCCACTCTTCCCCATCTCCAACGCTGCGGTTACAGACCATGAAGCCCTGGGTGCTGGTGACTGGAACTTATGCCTTCACACTTGCAGGGTTAGTCCCTCTACTCACTAGTCCATCTCTCTCCAGACCCAAGTGCTCTTCTCTTAAATGGAGAAAGTCTGGTCCATTCAAGATAGCGGTGACAGCATCTGTTACTTCATGCTCAGACCATAAGCTCCCTGACAACAAGGAGTACTTCATTCAACTCTGTTTTCTACCCAATGCGCATAGTCTGGTATCCTCACCCAACCAAGATGCAGGCACTACAAAGGCAGTAGTGAATTGCTTTTATACACTGCCAGATC